TCGACATTAAATATCACTATTTTCATGAGCAACGATAATATTTTCACAATGAAATTGTTTGAGCTGCTCTGCAATGGGTGGTACGACTCGACTACGAGAACAATCATCCGGTTTATTCGGTTATTAAATCATAATAATCAGCAAATTAATTTACTAAGAGTTAATTGAAATGAGGAAAATCATAGTTTAAGGGAAGAAGCTGAGAAAGAGGCGGCTCGATGCCTTTCTGGATAATTCAAACTATAAAATTATAGGTAACGCTAACTCAAGGTGACCAACAGCAAATTATAATGCAGAGAAGGAAGAAAATTCGCAAATTTGGGCCTTTGCTTGAAGAATGGGGAAAAATCGAGAATTTCAAGTAAAAAAAACATTATGCCCCATACATTAACGGGAAAGACTTTTAAATTTCCAAAATGAAGTTTGCAAATATTTTGAAAATTTGTGGGGCTAAACGGGTATTTTTGTAATTGCTTTTGAGGGAAATTTGCCGGTTAAAAAAAATAGAATTATAAACTGAAAGGTTTGACACAGAAAAAAAGAAATATTTTTCAATATTCTTGATGCAAGAATAAATATTCCTCATCTAAGAATGTCTTTCTAAAATTTAAAAATCGAAAATATCCATTCAAAAGGAGATTTTTTTGTCAAAAAAATTCATGAAGTAAAAACATGAATTCTCCAATTTGAAACTCCCCCATTCTTCAATTTGCGAATTTTCATTCTCTGAAAAATGTTAAATGCAAAAATCCGACACCACACAGACTAATTGTAAAAACAACTCCTCTAGTCTTTCGAAAAACCCATAACTTTCCACGAATCATCATCAATCAATCAACCAGTCAATCAATCAATCAACCAAAAAATAAACAAACTGTAAAAACCAACAAAAAGAACTGAAAAAAAGTTAGTAAAATCGACGAAAAACTGAAAAAAAAAGTAATGAAAAAAATACAAAAAATATATATTACACAATCTATGCGTAAAATAGACGTAGAAAACATTAATGTCTTTCTGTTAACAATTAACGAACGGTTTAATCAAGTATAAAAAGGGCATTTGGCCTTGGTAATCAGGGTTACTAGGCAGGCACACCTTGCTGGTTCTGTCTGGTTGGGGCGGTGTCGCCCGTCTCTCGTAGTGCCTCTCCGGCTGTTGATAAAGGGGAATCTGCAAACCCATTCGAAACGTGTTCGCAAGGCCCAGAATGACAAATCACCTTCTGAATTCTCATGAATTTTTTTCTTAATCTCTTAATTACGTTTTTTTTTCTCCATCAGAGAGACCACTGGGATGTACTACACAGAGGGACACAGAGGGTACATGTTGATGACGAGAGATGGGGCAGGACGGGTGGTGGGGATAGGAAGGGGTAATACGTATTGGCAACAGCAGCAATGACATGATTAACGATGACGTGAAAATTATAGAGGATACATATTTCATGGCAATGCAATAAATATTAGAAAATAATATTGTTGTTATCAAACTGACGCTCGGTTTGTGCGCATATGCAAATGATTATTGAGTACTTGTGGCATATTTTCAAATCACTGAATTGTTTGAGAGTGAATAACGAGGCACGTGAGATATTCATTGAATTTATGTGCTGTGGGATTACGTGAGTGATTGATAAATTATAAATTATTGGTAATGAGCTGGGGAGAATGTCTAGTTGTTTTTGATTTTACGAATCTCAGGGGAATGCTCGCACTGTTAGAAAGTTTTTGAAATTTGAGCATAGATGCATTTTAACGCTCGATGCTGTGAATTTGAATTCAATTTAAGATCAAGTCGTTCATGGAATAGTTTATTCAGGTTGAAAACTCAAGAAAATTGGGTTTTCTTAAACATCATATTGATTTGAATTTTTAGTGGATTTAAAATTCAAAAAGATTGTTGATTGCCTGCACGAAATTTTTTGGAAAATTTGGCATGTCGACCTGATAATTGCAATTTTATTGAATTCTCCAGAATTTGACAGATTTTTCTATAACAAAATATTTGGAAATTTCATGTGAATGTGTCGTTATTGAAAATTTCAAGGTTTTACACTTAAAATTTCAGGGGTAATTTTGTCATTTTCTTATTAAACATCACATTGAATTGAATTTTCAAAGAATTAAAAATCCAGAAAAATAATTGTCCATTCACATGAAATTTTTACGTGAATGTGCCGATTTTTTACTTGAAATTTCACGAGTACTTTTCTAACAGTGCGTACGTCAAAATAAGTTACATTTCATTCTCGAATTGGAAATAAAGTGTTCAGTGACTATATTTTCATTCCCGCGACTGATTTATTTCGTTCATTTTTCCTGTCACGAATGAGAATATAATTTTGTAAATCCGAACGCGCGAGATCTCCAGTGAACAGAGAGATAAAACATGTGGAGAGCATGAGAGAGGAGACGGCTACAGCGAATTTCGTGTAATGGACAAAAGCTTTTGTCGTGAGACATTCGTCGCGGCGCGTTCAACTCGGAATAATCCAGTCTCGAGGATTTCCTCCGCATTTACTGCCCACTGTGCCAAAATTACCGTCACAATACCAAGAGAGAGTAAAAGGGGAGTGGGAGGGGCGTGTGCTCTTGTTATTTCGGAGGAATAACCCGGGATTGTTTTCGTCATAATTCTTTTAGACAATTTCGCAGGGCTCATGGGCTTCTATTTATCAGAATGATCGATCGGGGATGAGACGCGCGTCATCGATCACACGGCTTTCACTCGTGTCCGTCGTCGTTTGCACCTCCCTGCTGCTCGCAACCACAGGAGTGGATTGAAGAGAATGTTGTGACGGTTTATACTGATAGCAGAATTCATTAGTTGCCACGGGGGATTCTTTTTATTGGAGGATAAGGAACATTTATAATGTTAGTGAAGGTATTTTTGTCAGGGGATTAATTCATTTTTCATGTATTGTCGATATTAAAAAAAATATTTTATCAATTTATGGTTGAATATTCAATTGTCTTAGCGATGAATGATTTTAGAAGAAAATATGAGGAAATAGTGGGAATTTCACAGGGAATTCCACAGAATCCTAAATTTTTGAGCAGCAGGAAAATGATTTTCGTGATTTTTTTCATTTTTACATTTTTATTTTCTCCATTTACTTGAATGCCCAATCAAAATTCGGATATTGAGTGTCAAATTACGCTAAAGTTTGAGTGGATTGAAAATTTGAGAATGTATTCACCTGAACTTATCTAATTTCTATTAATTTTCATGAAATCATAAATCTGAAATTCACAACTTTCATTGTTTCCCGAATTCCTTTGAAATTTCAAAGGAACTTTCGCTTGATAAAAATTTTCAAAATTTTACGAGAAGTTACAGCCAAAAATAATTTTTCTCGCGGGGTTTTTCGAATACATTTAATAGAAAAATTCAATATAATTTGATGTTTCTATGCAATTTATTACATTGACCATTTCATTCCAATAGAAATAAATTCAAATGATTAAATTATCACAAATAATTAAATAATTATCAATTATAGTGTATTAATTATTAAATTGGAATAGAATAATTGTTGCGAATCCAACAACAACAACATTTGAATTTCGGCTCAATCCCAATAACTAATAATTCCATCTCCGACATTTACCAATTCACACCAGTGTCATCTCCCCACGAATTCTCCCATCAGCATAAAACCCTGCAACATCTCTATCCACCCCCAAAACAATTGATTCACTCCTCGCAACCATGAAAGAATGCCTGATTGATTCGTTGGCCTGTACCACGTGGCATGTGCCTCTATCCACCCTTTTTTTATTTGCACTAACGAGTGACAAAGCGAAGCCAGAGAAAAAGACAACAGAGGCAATGAGTAAAACCAACAAAAAAAAATATCAGAAAAATAACAATCGACGAATAAAAATGAAATACACCGGTTCGAGAGCACTGGTTCAATACGCGTTGACCTTGAAATAACGAATGGGTGAAGTTTTAATTACTCCGTTTCGACCAGCGTTTGATTAGACTGTGAAACTCGTTTTTTACGTATCTGTTGTGAATGTTTTTTCAGTGTTGTTTCACTCCGTTTTTCACTCTGTTTTTCAATATTTTTTGGTTGTGTCGATCGTGATGGATGCCTAATGTCTGATCTACTGAGTTCTCTATCTCTCCTAAGGGACTAGCCACTCGTTCTTTGAGGGAAAACAATTGGGCAAATATGAGAATTGCCTGGAAAACATGAATTCTTGATTCTTCGTTTGAAAAATAAGGAAAAATCAGTAAGTCATCTATAATTGTTGATTCTTAGACATTTCCAAATACAAAAGTTTTGAATTTTCAGTAACATGTGGATTTAAACTTCAATTTCACATAAAATAAATCGTTCTTTTAATATGAAGGAAACGAATGTTCGAAATGAACAGAAATATTAAAATGAACGATAATATTTCGAATAAAGAATTCAATTCGATTAAAATTCGTCATTCTTAGTAAACTAGAATCTTTTCTTCTCTGTTTATATTTTTCAAAAAAACAAATCAGGAGCGAAGCGGTAAACCGGATTAAGTCGATTTTAACTGTTGGCCAGTTTTTGACGAATATCTCGGAATCTAAAAGAGCTACAAAAATTGTTGTTATAACCTTTTTTGTAAAGCCAACTGAGGGTTACAAAAAAGGTCATGAGCAAAATTTTGCTATCTCTCGTAGATTCCGAGATATTCATCAAAAAATGGCCAAAAGGAAAAATCGACTTAACCCGGTTTACCGCTTCGCTACTGAAATTTTTCATATTTCCCATTCAATTCTCAAATCTGCTGCACAACCCAATTGTCGGAGTATTCCTAACACGTGAATAGTCTGAGTTCTCTACATCGTGTCGAGCATTTCGTTATGAATCCTAATAAAATTCAATAGTATCTCGAAATCTTTGAAACCGACAATATTCGACTGAAGTGGCTGTATTGATACATTAAACATTAAATAAAAAAAATTGACAGACAGCGTATTAAAACTCGTGGTAGTACTGTTTGGACACTTACATAGACCTCCTCCCATTGTGAAACATAACGAACTAGCCTGGAGAGTCGTAGCAGTCTGACGAGTGACAGGAGTTTGGCGAGCCTGAGGATTCTGAGTGCGCGTCCGGCATGCAGAAGTTGAAAAGATTCGCTAAAATCCTGGAACTGGTAATGAAGAGAATTGAGGGAGGAATCTTTGGGGGGAATGCAATCAGTGTAAGTGAGGTGGAATTACATCGCACCTTCGGATGAAACAACCCACGTGATTTTCATTTTGTTCGCTTTCTGGTGGGAGGGGGGGGGGGGNGTGCTGTACTTACTTGATTAAATATGAGAAATATGTAGTCTAGGGGGATGGAGGAAATGAGGTCGAGAAAGAACCAAGTCCTGAGGTAGTGTTTCGCGATCAATTTTGGATCCAGTATCACCTGCTCCGCATTGTCCTGCTGCATTATACCTGTAACAAGGTGAGAGCAGGATTAATCTTCGGGGTAATGGGACATTAAGGCATTATTTAAGTGCATTAGAAATATTATTTTGGTAAATGGGAAGAGATGGCTTCAAATATTTTTACAGTGCATTGTTAGGGGAACACTGCACCTTCACCTGAAGTTTTATCTTAAAAAAAATAGAATGTAAATTTAGGTAGAAATTAGAGATTGAAATTTTAGTGTTGTTTTACCAGAAAAATTGACATTTTGTGGAGATTTGACTAGTAATTTTCGTAAGAGTGGCATTGAATTAGATTTTGTGAAAAATGAACTGAAAATTCAAATTGATTTCTAATAAAAACTCAGTTGATTATTTTCATGAAATAATTAAACTGAAATTTACAAATTTACAGTTTTCATTGATTTTTCCAGGCAATTTCAGCGAAAATTCTTCAACAACGCAATTGGCGAAATAATTTGGAACAGAAACATAATGCAATATTTTTTATTACCAATTATATTGAAAAATAATGCAATTAACTGAAACAAATGGACCAATAAAATCGGTGAATAAATTGTGTTCTGCCGGGAATATTCCATCCCTGGAATAATGAGATAAATGACGTTTTCAAATGAATAAAATTAATTTCGGCATCAATTATCGTAGAGAATGCATTAAAACCGGAAGGATGAATTTATTATAAAAAAAAATTGTGACGAGAGGTTTTAATTTTCCCGACCCATCGATTCCTGTCGGGCATTCGAACCGAGCGGAGGGGGCAGAGGAGGGGGAGTGAGGCCGGAAATAGACAGGGAATTTGGTATGTAGCGAGTCCACGTAGCAGAGGCTGATATTGCTAAGGAGTTCCCCGGGGTGCAGTTTCCCCAGCGCAATAACGCCCCACTAGCATGGGCCACCCTTCATCATCCCGTGGATGAAGTTACTGGCAATGCCTGCTCTCTATGCATTCTGGGTTGTGGAATATAAAAATGGGGAATTGCTTTTTCATGGAGTGGTTTTCAATTTTTCGGAAATTGCCGGAATTTTTGTATTTTTTCGGGGATACGGAGAAAACATTAATCACTGCTTTGCAGTAATTATACATTTATTGCATGGGAATGGTATTTTATGGAGAAGAACAGATTTAACTGTGAAAAAAAAATTTTTGGGAACAATTCTATTTTTTTTTAAATTATCGTTATAATTGAATGGAAAAATATGCATTTTACTCAATAAAATGCACTTGACACAGTCAAATTCTCACATGATTTCTGCAGGTCTCGTGCATTCACTGGAAAAACCTATCAATTTCTTACTTCAAAGCGGTTTTTTATTAAAATTTTTTTTTTTATGGATTTTTTTCCAATTTTACGAAATTCCACAACTTTTAGTATTTTTTGTGACTATTCAAAGAGAATAAATCACTTCTGGGCAATAATTATAAATATACCACACGCAAATGACATTCAATTGGTAAAAATAGATTTACTTTTAGAAAAAAAATCTAGTATTTTTTTAATTACTATTTTTTTTCAAGAGTTTAATGGAAAGATCTGCACTTGACTTTATCAAATTTATTTGCTATAGTCACTGCATTCACCGAGAAAATGTATCAATTCTTCACACAAAAGTGACTTTTGATAAACCAATTTGAGTTATTTTTTAACGGATTGTTAACCAACTGTAAAAATATAAATGAAATGGGGCATTTTGGCCGGATTTTTTGTCTTGATTAGAGGATGTCACCAGTGAAACGAGTTGATACAGTTGAATAGCCAATGATTTTTGTTCAATATAGTATCGGGAGAGGAGAAGAGATAGAATAACCATAGCACGAGTCACCACACAGTGGCAGGCGATGTGTCGTGCGACCCAATTTCACATTTTGCACCACTCAAACGCGCATCAAATTAATCCCTGGGTAATAACGAAATGTCAAGGAGGCCCACACTGAGTGTGTCCCTTGGTACTGTGTGAAACAATGGTGTTATTGTTGCTGGGAGTGAGTGAATAGACGTGGTTGACGCGAATTCCTTAGCTTCATTCATTATTCTTTGGAGTTTTATTTGCTCGACACAAGTTGACATGCAATTCCTCATTTTTATACTTCAAACGTTGAATGGAGGGAATTCCTGAAGTTCAAAGAGATATTCTGAGAGATTAGAGGCATGTTACTTGTGGGGATGGATAAAATTTTTGATGAAAACTTTATTTTATGCTGAATCCGGCTAAATTCGTTGAAGCAATTTCAGATAAACAGATCAGGTTTTGGGATTTATCTGGGAATCTAGTGGAGATGGCAAAATTTTTGTCGCGAAGATCTAAATTTTTAGAAAAACATGAAATTTTATGAATAGTTTATCAGTAATTTTCAGGAGAATGACATTGAATTCGATTAAGAGGAAAAAAATGATGAAATTTCAAATTTTTCAATGTCAAAAAGATGGGAATTCCGCGAAGTAATTGAATTGTCAATGAAAACATGAATTTTCAGTACGAAATTATGTTCATTTTTAAATTAATTGAGAGTTCATAAATATATTTAACTGAATTTTTCTGGTTTCTATGAATTTTCATGGAATAATTCAACTCAAATTGACAGTTTCCATTGATTTTTAGTGACACCGATGACAGTAAAGTCACATTACTTGTGTGGGTGGATAAAATCTTCGACGGAAACTTTATTTTATGCTGAATTCAATTCCGTTAAATCATCTCGAAATCCAGCGAAAATAAAAAAAATTTACACTTTTAGAAAACAGGAAATTTATTTCATAGAACAATAAATAAATAAATAAATGAATAACATACGTAAATAAATAAATACATGAATAAATAATTAAATAATTAAATAAACACTTTACGCAGAAAGTTCGAAAAACTCGACTCAAGTTAAAATCTCAATTTTAACTAATTCAATTGCTAAGAAGAACTGACTTTCTGAATTAGTTTGTAATGGCCTGTTGAATTATAACCAACCCTTCGGAGTTACCGTGCAACATAAACCAAAAGTTGTAGCGTACAGCCAATAGCGCCCCGTTGAGAGAGAATCATAAATCTCTGAGCAACGAAATGTCCAACGGGCGAAGAAACATATGCTCAATGCAGGCCAAACTTTGCAAGCTTGTCTGCAGTACCCCATACCCAACTTAATTGAAATACATCCCCGAAAACAATGCGCCATAACATGACTTGGAAATACCCCGATGATTGATGATTTACACTGTCGTAATTGATTCATTACCTGTTCTAAAGTTGACAACAATGTCTACGAGGAATATCGTATCCGAAAGGCAGTTGAAGGCTATCCATCGGGTACTCAGATCGTCGTTGAAAAAACTAATTGCGACTGGGAGAATTATCAAGTTGGCGACGAGGAGTAGCAGCATACATAGGTCCCAATAGAATCTGAAACAAAAAAAATAAATTATCCATAAAAAAAAGAATAATAAATAAAGTCGGGACATTTTATTTCCATTTTCAGAAAAATAGACCTTCTTTAATCGTGAATATCTCCGGAACAAATAATGCGAATTTCCCAAGTCTGAATTTATTGTAAAGCATATGAAAATACCTTTAAAATGACGTCAGAGAAGCTGAATTTCACTCAGCCGCTCCCGAGATATTCACCATTAAAGGAATACTCTTTACGTTCTCCCACCGATTTAAGTCGTTTTCTAAATAAAAAAACTGATTGAGGATTTATTGAACCCCCGGAGGCGCCGTTCACACCCAAAGTAATAGAAATATTCCGTAATGAATGTCGAAAGGGGTGGAACACGCACACACGCATCGCCGGTTACCCACCACTTAGGAACGAGTGAACCCTCGATTCCGCACCAACAGGTGGTCTCACACTTCCTCTTCCCATTTTTTTCACGCCCACCGCGCCGAATGAACTGGAGAAAATGCTGGGCGAGGGGCTCGAGAAAAGTTGGAAAAGCTCGAATCAGAGCGAGAGTGGGAGGTACTAAACGGGGGAAAATAAATGGCAAATCAAGTGAAAATTCACGCGAGTTCATCTTAATGGGGATTCTGTTCGGTATGAAAAGCGAGTGGGGGGGGGGGGGAAATTGTGGGGTGGCAACGTTGAAAGGCTTTCACTCGGGCATAATGAGGAAAATAAAGGTAATACTCGAAGGGTTTTTATGCACAAAGGTGCAACTTATGTGCACCTGACACGCAATGTTGGGGTAAAATGCGGGGGATGTGATGACGAAAAAGTGTTGTTTATTTATTTATTTATTTGTTCATCCATTCAGTTATTTATTCATGTATTTATTTATTTATTTTATTTATTTATGTATTCATTTATTTATTTACTTATCTATTTATTCATTTATCTATTATAGAAATGATTTTTGTTTGTCATTTTATAAAGTTTATAAACGAATAAAAAAAGTTATAAAAAATTGCGTATTGCAGGTGCTTTAGGGGAATAGCGCAGTAATGCGGTATGAAAATTCACCTGAAATAGGATTTTAACAGGGGGAAAGAGGAACAAAGCGAACGAGACGGATTTCTCGGGTAAAGTTTCTATCCAACGTTGAATTTAAACCATAAATGCTAATTTAGAGTTGGCGCAGTGGATGAGGAATTGTTATGATTTTTCCAGGGGGGAAATAAAACAGAAAAATAGATTGGATGAATTATTTATGAATTGCTGGAGGGGCTTGCTGGGTAATTGAGGGATAACGTGGAGAATTGAGGGATTGATTATTTGAGAGTGGAGAGTGGGGCGTTGGGAGGATGGCGAATTGTTTGGGGGGAGGGGGGCTGAGGATGAGAGAGGAATTTGGAGGCTGGGGGCCCGCAGCCTTCCTGGAATCAATCTAGGGTTTTTGAGGATGATTGATCTTTATGGGATGATTAATCGGTTGTCGTGTTGGTAAATAAATCGGAATGATGCAATTTCCATATTTTTTTTTAGAGAGGACCAAAAGTTTGGGAGATATTGGGCAAAATCCCAGCCTGCAGTATCACGAGAGCTACAATCGCGCGAAATTTCAACTTCCTATCTCAATTTTTTCGAGAGTTATCGTGTATACATCGATTTTATCGAAAAAATGAAAAATGCCAATGATTACCAAGTTGTCTCTGGTTAAGCGAAGATATTATAACTTGATTTGATGGATATTATGATAAGGAATATTTTGAAAAAAAATATTCGTCAAAAAATTCAATTCAGTCGTGCAGTTTTTGAGATGTCGAGGAAAAAAGATTTTCGAGGAATTGCTGTATCTCAAAAACGGCTTGACCGATTGAGCTGACATTTCGCCCAGATGTACTCCCAAACAATGCCAATTATTCCACAAAATTTCGGATTTTTAGCTCGAACTTTACTCCTTTTTTCGTGAAGATTTATTAAAAAAATCCGAAAAATCCGCACATACAGACGGACATACAAACACATTTTCTAAAAACATCATATTTTCACGTTTCATGACATTCTACATCGTTTCCAAGTGAAAGCTTCCATTTTGAGGCAAAAATCATGAAATTCCCAAATTATCGAGCAGCAGAAAGAGGTGAATTTCCAAATTTACTTGAAATTTCAATAAAAACATGAATATTCAGCGCCAAATATCGTTAATTTCTCCATGAAATTTGGAATTTCCAATTACAAAATCCCTTGAAATTTCATCGCAACTACAATATAACAAATTTCCACGTAAACACTTACAAAAAATTGACTCATTCTCATGCAATTCATCTTAAGCCCGTAAAATTGATCCAGAAATTCGTTTTCTACTTTAACCTTCACTAGTAATTTTCCAGCAGTCTAGATATTTCAAAAGCCGTAAAAAATTAAGTCTTTCAGTCACGTTTCAGCACTTCACTCGTAACGAATGGAACAAAAAGCCGACTCCTCCCTACAAGCTCCACCTCCGAGTTCCCCATTTGTTCGTATTTTTCTTCTTTCCTCAAAAATCACGAAAACCTATAGCACTTGTCCGTCCCCAACTGAACGTAAAAACGGATTTTGTGGCGGTGTAATACCGTAATAGGATCAGTGTCAAGCAAGCCCAGGGAATCGAGCTCCCTCTATCCGCATCTGTACACGATTTCCAGTGCAGTATCCATCCGCATCGAGAGGAAACAAAAGCCCGCTGATCCATTGTCCCTCAAAATAATTCCGATCGGCCGATAAATCCCCTCCGAATATATCCCAAGACGTCAATTGGTATCGATTGATAATTGCTTCCGGTACAGGTGTATTCGCGATTGTCTCCGCTCCTCATCCGCACTCCGGACGGGAATAAAACATCTCAAATAACTTCTATTTTTATCCGCAACTGTCCGAGAATTTCGGAGAAGTAATAGAGCAAAACCTCATCTACGGTTTTAAGCGCTTGTAATATCGCCGTTCGGAGATGCTGAGGTCATCTAACTCGGGAAATACGGGCTTAAGGTCAAGTTGAGACTAAATGCGTTCATTTCTTCAGGTGCAGTTCTATTCGCAATAGAATCACTCAAATAAATCGTTGATTCGTTATTTTTGTGCTCTTATCAACTCTTTTATTTAAATTATTATATTTTTATTACTAGACCGGACTATCACGTTATTTACTTGGAAGGAGCTTTCCTCTTCTTCATTCAAATTTCATAAAGACATTAAAAAAAATTAATGACACAAATAAATATATAAATAAAATAAAATAGAATAATAAAAATTGTATTATTTAATTAATAAGAATTAAACGAATTCATAATTTAGTATTGAAAGATTGAAATAATTTTTTAATATTAAAAAAAAAATTTTTATCCAATTTAGGAATTTCATTATTTCTTTTAATGAAGAAATTAGCCATCGGCTTTTCTTTCGGGAACAGCTGATATCGATTGTCTTCGCTCAAAGGTCCCCTTTGTTTACATTGCCAAGAACCTTTCTAGTAAAACGCCGGCGAGGGATTTCTAATTTGAGGGAAAGCTGGCGGGTCACGAAAAATCCATAACAGCTGTTCTGTTCTGGTGCAGTTTTCTTCTCGTTTTTTTTTCAATATTTTACTCTTGGCGTACGTGTTCAGGCTATCGAACATGATCTACAGGTACTGAATACAAGATCAGTACTATTTGGTTATTGATCGGTTTGCACAGCTGAAGAAATCTTTTATTTAAATTAAATAAAATTCAATTATGAAGTTTGAAATTTTGGATTTTCGATCTTCATGGCATCAGAAAGTCAAAAATCAATATTCAATACCAAATTGAGACCAATTTTCGATGAATTGGGAATTTAAGAATAAATTTACCTAAATTTCCCTGATGTGTAGTAATATTAATGGAAAAATCGAATTAAAAATCACAATTTGCGTTAATTTTCCATAAAATTGTTAATTTCTCATAGCAAAACTCCCAGAAATATCAGAGAAACTGAAAATCCAAATATGATTTAATTGAAATAAACAAATAATTCCCTACGATTTAACACTGAGAAAAAAAATTATTTTTGTCAAATATTCATTGACTTGAGTGAATCATTTATTTTTTAAAAATCGCATTTCTTGTTAATTTAGAGGTAGAGATAAATTAATACATAAATAAACCGCGCACCGTCAAACACATTGTTCAAATGACTAGAAAATCCTCGAATGAAGTGTTTCATTCAATTGAAACGCGTCATTTCCCTGGATGCAATATTAGAATGAATTAGATCTATTCTCGTCATTTTCGTTTGTCTTGCCATTTTGACCTCCCGCGTCTCTGTCAAGTGCACAATCGATCGTCCCGGAAGACGGCAGGGGTGACCCAGCTGCCGCACCGCTTGACGAACTTTGTTAGCTGGCGAGTCGATTAGGACAGAGAATCGTAGACAGGCTCCACCTGACACAATGCGCATCATAATAAATTGTTAGTGGTGAGTCGACAGTGTTATCACCCGTAAACAATGATGCAGGGGGTCATTGTGGGACACGAGAGGATGCTGACGTAATCAAGTGGACAGCATCACTCGACGATTTATGTGGGCGATTCGCTGGTGGGGCAAGGGGGCACTTTCACTGTGTGGCGAAACGATTGACCGAGAGGTTGATGCGAAGATCATGGACAGAGGGACAGATGCTTTGAAATTAGCGGAATGTTTTGGATTAGTGTGGGAGAAAAAATTACTTCTGCGAAATTGTGAACATGGGAGATGTTAAGAAGTGTCTTGCAGTCTTGGCGATATGTTAATGGTTATGTGGATGCGTCATATAAATGGATGATACTTAGGAAAAAAATAATGATAAAGATGAATGATGAGTGAAAAATTGAGGAATAATTCAAAACGAAGGGCATTGTTGTGAATGGATTTTTAGAAAAGTGAACAATTCTTGAATTATTCAGGACATCCGACACTGAGAGAAAAATTCAATAAAAATTACCAGAAAAAAACGTTAAAATTATGTTTCGAAAGGTAATCCGCGAGC